AACTTCATTAAAATTACACAGATCTTCTCTCTATTTTCAAAACTAACAAGAAAAAAATCCTAAAACAAGAAGACTAAATTATACAAACATCCCATGAGTTTGAAATTACACACATCCCCTTTATTTCAAAATATAAGCAAATAAATAGGAAGAAGGTATGCATAATTTATTCTTTGTTTTTAAGCAAATTTAAGTGAATTTCTGAAAATAGAAAGTAAGGTTTGCATAATATAACAAGACCCAATAGAGGACATTAAATTTCTGAAAATAGAAAGTAAGGTTTGCACAATATAACAAGACCCAATAGAGGACATTACAATTTACTTTTTGTGAGATCTAAGTTTCAAAACGAAGGTGAGTCCATGTAAATTTAGCAAAACTCGTAGAGAGTCCCTGTAATTTTCCCCCAAAAACAAGGCTTACCAAGCGATTTACACCGCAGTTTGGTCTCAAATCAGTAGCAGCGGATACAAAATCTCTCCCATACTTCTTCTCAAAGATGTCTTTAAGAGCCAATAGCTCTGGAATCTCTGAGCACCTTGGGGCTGCAAATATTAAGCTAGCAATCCCTTCCTTTAGATCTGCAGGGCATTCCCTGAAATAAGTTGGATTGGCATCAAAATTTTCACAAATACTAACTTTACAAATAATACTAATAAAAAAAATTGCCTATCTTTCACCTTTGTTTTGCTATGATTGAAAGTCTAGCCACGACCAACTCACAAAAGAGCTCAATGAGCTCATTTGCAGCCAAAACATTTTGCTCTCTCGTCACGTGCTCAACCTGCAAAGCAAGGAGAGGGGGATATTCAAAGGGTTCCCATCATTCCATTTGATTAATTGCACCTATGACTTGAAGATAGATTATCATTTTCCATCAAAACTTCAACTTCCTTTAAGCAGGAACTTTGCTCAGACGTTTATAGCTGATCTGGTGAACTGCCCACACTGTGTTCATTATTATTGACTATTTAGCACTTAGCATCTCAAAAGCAGAGCCGTGTTATCAAAGAAGACCATATTAACTAGAAACATGAGTCAGCAAACATTTATTTACATTCTCTTATACGATCCATCTAAACACATGCACTTCACACTTAACAATATCAAATATAGAACACTAGGAGCTCTGGTACATACGCATCCGCAAGTACTATTGAAATTAAATCAATACCAACCGAACAACCCCCCCCCCCGGGAGTCCTTGGCGTAAATGGTGCACTGATTCCAAAACACGCAAGATGGACGGCAATAAACAGGTATTAAAAATATGATAAACGGACTCAGCAATCAACAGTATCAAATATGTGATAATCTCTCTTTCTTTGTAACAGAGTGGCCATCCTTTTGAAGCAAAATAACAGATTATATTCGCCGGGAGTTTTGAATCAATTAGTCAATCATTAAGAAGGTGATACTTGGAGGGTGAAAAATCTCCACTTGAAGTTTAAAAGAAAACGTTAAGAGAGATTTGAGAATAACGCATCAGCTATGGCTATTGTGAGCGCTAAACGAAGATTACCCTGATACGAGCAGTGGCATCCTGACCAGACTCGAGAAGCAACGCAATGTCTCGCCTCATCTGCCTCACCACCACCTCTCTCTTGTTCCTCAGCAACTTTATCCTCGCCACCGCCATCTTTGCCGCCGTTTTGCTGTTTCACCCATTCATGCTGTTTAGCTTAATTCCGTAATCAAACGAGAAACATAACTAGAATTTCTGGTGGCGGAGCAAAAATTCTTTCCTTAAGATTTTGCGAGAACAGACCATCTCGGTTGGATTTTACCAAGAAAATGTGAGGAAAAAAACTGATAATAACAAGCAACTGTGTTCATTCGGGACCTTGAAGAAATATGAGGAAAAATGTACCATTTGGAGGAGCTGAAACCTCTGCGGAGAAGAGAGATAAAGAGCTTCATGAGCTTCTTGGTGTGGGCAGTGGCTGCGTCTGCAACAGTCATGGCTGGGTGAGAGACAGGAAGAAAAAGAGGGTGAAGTTAGGGGTTTAAGAGGAAGGAAGGGAAGAAGAGTAGTAACGGTTCAGTGAAAAGGAAAGCTACAAAAGGTTCGTCTTTTTCTTCGTCGACGAGGAGATCCCATGGGCTCCACTTGTGCGCTCTGCTGTCATGGCTCCGCATTGGGAAAATCTAGCCGTTAGGAGATTTGACACGTGGACAGTGAAGCTGCGATGAGGGGGTAAGGATCCTATGCAACAGGGATCACGAAGGGTTACTCAGAATTTGACCACGAGTCCACGATGTTAATTGTTCGGTAACGGAAAATAAATTTTTCTATTCTTTATTTCGTTACGAATAATATTTATTAAATATTAAAAAATATAAATATGAAATATGCAATTTTTATTCTTAGAAAGTGAATTTCTGTTTCATAAAATTTCTTTTTTAATTTTATTCATAAATATTTCAGTGAGATCAATCATCCATATCTTATCCTGTTATCTGCTCAACTCAACACACGCATGTGTGTATATTTTTTTGCTGGGAAGAAACGCTAAGTTTGGGGTTGTTTATATTTTTAGAAAAAGTATGGGAAAATATAATAGAATGAAAATGCCCACAAAAAAGAAAAAGTGATGACTTAACTGATCTTGATATTGAAAGGAATCATAATACTTTGCTAGTTTATGTTGGATAAAATGAAAATACCCGAGTCCTATAGGCATAAATCATTAAATGTCATTTTTTCTTGGTAGTTTTGCGGAAGCTATAAGTCAAAGTTTGGCGGGTTTGGATCTGCGTTAAAGTTTCGCTGACCAGTTGAGATCCAATGTTAGCAGAAAACTGGGAAATTGGGTAATGAATGTGACAAAATAAGATGCCGAAACTTGATGAAGGTTAAGGATATTTGTCGTGGTGTGAGCAAAACCAGCAACCTGCGCACATGATCAGATATAAATTACCTTCGAAAGACTCTAAAATCAAATGTGAAGCTGTGCGTTGAATCCAATGACAGGTAGCTTCGTGATTCGCAGCAACCGAACTGTCAGACATGAGCACCAGGGACTTGAAACCTGGAAGCATACTGTGTGGAGAATATGGAGTGGCAAAAGTGGGGGTATGAATGGTGAGTATTATCATCAGAGTTGATCGATCCAACTAAGATAGAGACCAAATAGCAGAAGAGAAGTAGATGATCAAGAGACTGATGACCCTACCAAGTTAAGATGATGGCTCTTTCACAGATCTGATCATGAGTTTCCATAGAATAAGGCTATGGTCGTTTTGAGACAATACTCCATGCGTGCTTATTTTCAGCAATAATCCTTTGTTAAAACATTTAGGTCCCGTTGAGTATAAAGCATTACAATTAAGAATGAAAGGTAAGGATTGAAATTAGGATTGGAATTGAGAAAACCCATCAAAGAAATAATGTTAAACAACACCAAGGCCTCCTAAATCTGGTGGCACCAATAGGGACTGTCAAATGCTTCCTTCCCTTTCAATTCTGCCCAAAACAACTAAACAAGTCACTCATACGCATATCTGTTTGTTGACAATATTTAAAAGCCAGCGCTAAGGGCAGGCCAGAATGGAACTGCTCACTCATTTATCAAAGCAAGGCCTTTTGTCTTAAGACAGTATTGATTGTTTACACCCTATAGGAACCAGTTACAAAAGTCAAAATATCTCTGGTTGGGAGAACTTTCAAAACCAACGTTTTGGTTCAAATCATGGTTTCAAAAGCAGAGTAGTCAAGCAAGGGTCTAAAACCCAAAAGAAATTTTAACCATCAAACCATGATTCTGAACCCAAAACCTTGGTTATAGAAGTTGAGGAGAATAGCTTTTAATTGGCTTTCACAATCTCTTTTAATCCAAACATTTGAAATCACGTTTTCGATGTGCCAAATCATGATTTGAAGTTCACAGCTAATGTGCCTCCTCTTATCTCCATAACAACCCATACTTTAGTATTATTTAATCTGCCCCTGTTTGAAACCCTCCGGATGCACCAAAAAGATATCAGACATGAGAGACATTGTGGACTCATGAAGGATTTTGTGTGTAGTGGTTTTGTGGTCTTCCATCAGCATTGCAAATATCTACCCATCTTTTTATATTTATTTATTTATTTTATGAACATATCGACACGTCTTGCATAAAAGCCTCAGAGATTTGCTCTGTTTTTGGAAGCAATTGATACCGGGCGGCATTTCCATCCTCATGTCCCTTTCTCTGTTTTTGCTCTGTTTTCTCTATACTTTATTCTTTTTCTTTCTTTTCTTTTTCAATTTCTTGGATGTGTCTGGTAGTTGAAGAATGGCTGGAGAAAATTTTATACAAATATATACGTAAGATCTTCCTATTGCACGGGTGGCATGTCGTTTGGTAGGTTACTATAAAGACTCAGTATAAGTTCAATGCTTTGATATGTTGCTGCAGGTAGGTACCGACCATACAAAATAAAATATTTTGGCTCTTCCATTGATGAACCAAAACTCAAGGTTTTAACAGCACAGGGATTTGGTTTGACGGAAATCTATAGTGCGGATCTTCGAGATAAATTATTTTAGATAGAGGTTTGTTCTATTATATCCAAAACTAAAAGGTGGACATTTTAGTAAAATTCATCTCGAGAACTATACATAAAACTAATTTATCACGTATGCTTATTAACATTGACACTTAAATTTCACATGATTACAAGAAATCTTTCAAACGCTATCGGTTATGATCCTTGAAAAAGTTTTGAATTTCAAGGATCTTGACCATCATTAACATAATATGTTTTAATTGCCGTTTTACTCTATATCTCCGTTTTTGGTGAGGGGAAAAATAGAAATTTCTGTTTTCTATGTCTGCTATAACACCGTGGCTTTCTTCAAGTGAAGATGTAACGAACATATGAATATTTAATCTTTTATTTTAAGCCGTACCTTTTTTGAAGAAACTAGATACCTGATTCGGAAAAAAGAAGTTCAGACTAAAAAGAAAAAGATGACCCCAAATATAGAGTATAAACTGCTGTTTGTATTTCATAGTATAAACATCCAAATACATATATATACGTGTTTAAAATTGAATCCTCATCCCTAAAATATGGATGGCTTGCAGGATTTTAAACATAATTTGCCAGACATGAACCCTCTATTGAGAGATTATGTTCAAAAGGGAGGCTCTAGTTTTGATCAACCGCCTAAACACAATCTGCAAATCATTCTCAAGGCCTTCAATGGCCATCTCCAGAGCCTCCAATCTTGTATGAACAATCTTCATCTTCTCAAAACGACCTCCTTCACTTGCAAAACTGTTCAACACTGAATCTACGCTCTTCAACTCATTGGCTATTTCTGAGTTATCTTCACATGCTTCCACAGTGCCTTTGGGCATCCATCTAGCAACCACAAACCATTTGGCCTCTTTTGGCATCACCAAGAAGGCCAAAAGCGATTGGAAGATTGAAGCGGTCATCAAAATGGCTTCCCTAATTACTCTTATCACAGAAGCCATCTGATCATCAAGATTCAGGAGCGGGGTTGCACCAAACCTGCCTTCCATCTGCTTTAAGTCTGTGATAAGTGTCCTCACGTTCTTCCTCATCTTCTTGGTGAAGAACTTGTATTCTGCTACACTTTTTTCAACAGACGAATCTCCTTTTCTTCTTCTGACTGCAGAATGAAGGGCTTCAACGTTTTCCTTGATCTGCAACAATATATCCCTCGTGATGCCACATATGTCCAAAACCCTAACTGATCCATCTAAAAGCTCCTCAACGCAGTGATCAGCCTGATGCTGAGAAATCGCCAGTTGAATTGAAGACATGTGAAGAAGCTCGTCCAGGCTTATGTAGACGTGTTCAAGCAAGGACAGGCCTGTACGAACAGAGTCTGATGTGGGTGTGGATGTTACTTCCCAAGTCTTGAGCTTGTTGAGCTCTTCGTCAACTTTAATGGTGGTGGGGTGAGATCTAGAGGGCAAACTGATAGAGCGAGCATGGTATTTCATAACCATAGCTGCTCTGGTTGATCTTTTTTCTGCTCTGTGGATAGCCTCAAAACTGATGTTTGTATTAAATTTGAAGTCTTGGAATGGTTGTTTATATACAAGTGAGAGGGATGATTTTTTTAGAGGCGGAAATGAGGACGGCAAAGAAGGTGAAGGGGCATGTGGTGCCCGCATGGATTCCCTTCAAGTTTGGTGACATTGTCTCATTTCTGCCCGACATGGAGGTCCACAATTATTTTACCCATCCATCTATCCATCCATCAATATTTTGTAATTAATCTTAGAAAAGTAGCTAAATTATTGCTTTACAAATTTTAAAAAATTAATTAGATTATTCATAATAAATTAATTTCCTAAAATCTTTTTTAGTCATTTGTATTTGAGTTATCTCCTCATAGAAGTCTCTTAATAAAAATAATTTGAAAAATGATCTATAAATTTGAAGGATAAAATCAGTCAAGACTCTAATCAAAATACTCCATCAAGTCATTTTTATAAGCTCCTTTTAATTAAATTACATGATTTAAGAAAATAATTAAAATTAGTTTAAAACAATAAATATTTTAACATTCAAATTTGTTTTTTCAAGTATATCCTTATTTAATAATAGAGCAAATAAGAGAGAGAAAAACACTAGTAATGACATAAATGATGAAAGAAAATGTAGTATAAGAAAAATATGATGATGGAAAATACAAAATTAATTAGACTCAAAATTGATTAAAACATATTTAATGTCCAGACACTCCTAAATAAAATCGAAGAATCAAGCCAATTTAAATTTTGGACCTTATAAAAAGAAGGGAGTATAATATGTGTGACATCTAATTTTTATTTTCTATAATTTTTTGTTAGGTGATAGATGATTGAGGAATGGGGGCATGGGAGTAGAGAATTACTGCATGTGTTGGGAAAAAACAACGTCATTAGTCATCTCATAGTGTGTTTCCTGTGCTGCCACCTTAGGGTTTCATTCCCCATAAACCAAAGTGAAGGCTGCTTCATCCTCAAACATGTGAACTGTCTGGCTTGTCTCCACATGAAGCTGCTTCTACTGCAAAACGAAATAAACAAATGGTTTGTTTTGGGAGAGTCAGATTTAATTTGGTTATTTTAAGAAAATGGGTTAAGATTTGAGTGTTAGATAAGATAATAGATTGGGATTCCAATGACAAATTCTGACTTTGTTTAGTATGTGCACGAGTGGCATGTACTCTTAATGTCTCCTTTTTGTTTAACAACGCTCTAATTACTTGCTACTATGAGCTTTCCATTTCATATGAAGAGCTCTGAAGATTCTCACCATTTTTTCCTTTTCTTTTCTGCGTGATTGTTTCTCGAGAAAATTTTTTAGTAGGTACGTAAAGGATATGACACGTACGCGTATTGTGCTGGAAGGTCGCTTGATTGTAAGTCTCAACCAATATTTTCAACAAAGCTTATTCCCACTAAGGGTGTGTTTGGTTGGAGGGGAGGGGAGGGGAGGGGAGCTCCTCCCCTCATTTGGTTGAAAATTTTGGAGGGGAGGGGAGCTAAAATGTCCCTTCCCCTCCCCTCCCTCCCCCCATTTTGGCTCCCTTCTAAATTGGAGGTTTTTGGAGGGAAGTTAAAATTTTAGACTATTATGTCCTTATGATTTTTTTAATATTCCACTTCTATCCATAAAATATATTATTATAATATTTATTTTAAATAAAAAATATATTATCTTAAGTAAAAAAAATTAAAAATATATACACTATTATAATTAAAAATATATTATAAAAATTATTTAAAAATAAAAAATTATTTAAATAAAAATTATAATATTATAAAAATTGTTTTTTATAAATATATTATTTATTAAATATATTTTAAAGCTGGAAAAAAAGATAGCCTAAAGAAAATAAAATTTCATTTTTCTTAGAGCATATAAAATTTGTTAATTTGATTATTTTAAATATATTATTATATTAATTAAAATAAAAAATTACTATACCAATTTTTTAATACACATATTAACATGATAAGACTGAATTTTTATTAAATTATATAATTTAAATTAAGATGTAAATTAATTTATATAATATATCAATAAAAAACATAAACTAATATGTAAGGATAAAATGGTAAATTGATTATTACTATCCCTCCCCTCTCCTCCTTGAACCAAACAAGGGATCATTAAATACCCTCCCCTCCCCTCCTTTTTAATCAAACCAAACAAGGTGAGGACAAAACCTCCCTCCCCCTTCCCTACCCCTCCCTCCCCTCCCTTCCCTTCCCTCCCCTCAAACCAAACAGGCCCTAAGGGCAATAATAGTCGTGCTTGTACGTGTTTCATATAATTTAACTCTAATTATTTGCAGCCGACCTCGCCAATAAGAGTGAAAATAGCTCAGGAGCATATGGCTTAGCGTGTATTTGGCTGGCCTTATTTTTTTCAAAATAAAAAAAGATTCAAGTCTTTTTGATAGCCTATTTAGTCTAATAAACAAGGTCTAGGCTTTTTGAAAAACCTGTTAGGTCTAACCTGACTTGTTTTTTATCTTATTCTTTATTTTATTTTGTACCCATATCTAGTTTTATTTTAAATTTTAATATATGATTATAACTTATTTTCAATAATATTAACTATAATTAAGATTTAAAATATTACTCATGATATTAAAATTTAAATAAAAGATAATAATAAAAAATAATTATTGTGTAGCTGTATATTTTACATTTTTTATTAGCTCATGTATTTTTTATTATGTATTTTGAAAATTTTAAAATATAGGTTTTTTAACAGGTTCAGGCTTAGGCTGGAAAAAAAAAAAAGCCTATTATATGTCACAGGTTAAGTTTAAGCTAACGTGTTACTAAACAAGCCTGACTTGTTTCTACTCCTCCTCACCAACATAGTTTTGTTTATTAATAATAAACCAATTAGATTCTTATATGTGTTAGTCTAAAACTCTCTGAACTACAACTCCGTGTATACTCAGAAACTTCTTTTTCCTTATTTTATGTCCTTTGTCATTTAATAGGAGCAATGTACCGTAAGTAATTAAATTAAACCGGTTATTAACTCACTAAATTAGTCGAGACAATAGCTAAAAATCAATGCTCTAACAATGGTTTAATAGAGGTCAGCCACATCATTATTAACTTTTATAATTCAATTAAATATGCACGAATATTCATATATAACCTTAATTAAAAAGAGTAATATTGAAATAAAAGGATGTCTAGCAAGTTTCAAAGTTGGTGCATGTGTTTTTCTTTCTTATAGGGAAGGTCGGGTTAGGGGTCAAGACTTTTTTTTCTGAAAAACGTAAATGTAATATTTAATTATTTATATATAAATCACACCTAATCAAACATAATAGAGCTATTGAGATATAAAATAAATATGATGGACCGCAATAATTTTAACTTAACACATGGTTGTTAATATATAACTCAGTTGACTTGTTCAAAACTTTTGACTAGACTGATCAAGAGAGTATTAATTCATTAGTTTACTTATTCAATAAATGTGATATTGTTATGCAGAAAAAAAAAAACACAGGAGACAGAGAGAATCAAGCTCTCACTTATTCAATGAAGAAGTGATTCATATACATTGTCCCTTCCCTTTTATTCTGAAATCCAAACACAAGTTGGTGCAATATTTGCTGTAATGTTTTCATTATATGTATAGCTAACATATCAATTTCCCAGGTTGAAGAAATATCACTGCTTCATTGCTCCCTTGTCTCCTTAATGCTATCCATGCTTCTAATTTTTGTAGCCACTTGAGCTTAAACTATAGCTATTCAATCAAAACAATCTAATATCTCTCTCTCTTTTTGTTTAATGTGTGTTCCCGCAACACTGCGTCATGTATATAACACTTGTTTTAATATTTTCATTTTTTATTTAAAAATTATTAAATAATAGTTACAATATTATACTATATACTTTCTCTGTCCCTAGATACAAATTTTGATATTGAAAAACACACAAATTAAAGAGGTACCAAAATCTTATGTATTATGTAGAAGTTTGTTTTTTTTCCTTTTCTATTTTTATCCTTTATCTAATGTCATAATATTTTAAACCTCATTTGTTTACAAACAAGTTATTTATTAAAGTGGATTTCATATTAAGGATGTAATATCATAGCTAGAAGGTGTTACTTTGAAAACATGTAAATCTCATGTCTAAAAATTTGCATTATTAAGACATTATTTAAGGATATAATAAATATTAAATTTAAGATTTATATTTAAAAGGGTTAATATAACCTTTAGCCCCTCAAGTTTGCTCTTATTTTGGTTTTAGTCTCTTAAGTTTCAAATTATAGGTTTTAATCCCTCAAGGAGCAAAATCGTCTAAGTTTTTATTAGATTATAAAGACCAGTATTTTAAATGACAAGAAACTTGAGGGATCAAAACCTATAATTTGAGACTTAAAAGACTAAAATCAAAATGATAATAAATTTAAAGTATCAAAATTTATATTAGCCAAAGTAATATGGCTTATGCCTCCTATGTTTCCTGTTCCACATGATTTATGAAACATGGCTGTTAATATCAATGGCGGAGGCCCAGATTCCAGGCCTATGATGGAAACTTTAGGCTACAATGTTTGAGCCAGAACATATTGTTTAAATTTATTCCACACTTATCCATTCGAAGGAACACATGTATAGATATTATTTTTTTCAGAGGAATGTTGATAAGTACATTGATTGTTGAAAAAGAGCCGGTAAAAAAAATAGATTGATTCAGTTTATTAGTTTTTTTTTTTTCTTGGGACCATGCAATCGATGGGGCTGAAAAGTTGACGAATTAGGGACTTGTGAATTTTGAATTACTCCTTATCTCAATTCGATCAGTTTTTAGAAGGTTAATTGGTTCTCAGTACATTAACCTCTCTCTCTCTCTTTTTTTTTTTTTGGGTCCAAAGTATATTAACCTCACATTACTTGAACGTGGATGCTGGATTTTGGACTGTTTGCTCTTGTATATGAACCTTGCCGCAAGAAATGGGCTCATTTAAGTTGTTATACCACCTATTGTTCTTATATCAAGAACTAATTCACTAATTTAAGTATTCTTCCGATTTAAATATAAGACTCATTTTGTAATACAATTTGCATTACAAAATGGTTCTTATATTTAGGACCGGAAGAGTAAATTAAAAAAATTGTTAAGTTAGTTATTTGTATTAAATAGGTGATATCTTTCTTAAAATACCATTGCTAATTTTGTGTATTAACTAAAATTATTTTTTAATGAAACTTTTAACATGTACAACTATTACAATGACTAAATATGAGATATAATAAAATGAACTGGGATCTTATATTTAAGATTAAATTAAAAATCAAACTAGCTCTTATATTAAGAGTCGAAAATAGTACTCCTCCGGTCCTTATTATAAAACCCAATTTGACTTTTTATTTGGTCCTAATTATAAGACCCAATCCATTTTGTCTCTTATATTTATGCATTTTTTTCCAAGATAATCCTTCTAATAATGATAGTTTTAGCCAATATACTTAATTAGCAAGGATATTTTAGGAATGACAACACTTATTTATTATAAATAACCAACTTAACTTACTTCCTTAATCTCCTCAAATAAGTCAATTGGGTCTTATAATTAGGACCGGAGGAGTATTATCTTTATTCTGATCTTTCCTTATGTTAGTGAAAGTCCCATTGGCTAAGGCAAAACACTGAAACACTTCTAAGAGGTAAGCTCCGCGGATTCTGATGTCAAGAGTAGAATTGAAGAATTTTGACAGGGCCTCTGAAAATTTAGCACTCTTGTGAGTCTTCAATTGAGGCAGGTTTGATTGCAGAGAATAAGTCTTATAAGCTGCTTTATTTTAAAATGTACGTTTATCATAATCATAAATCTCTAGCATTATTCATAAGCTATATGATAAATGAAAACTGGGGTTTATCATTCAACAAAGAAGTACAAACAACGTAATACAACCAAAACATCAATAATTCCTCATCATTTACTACCTCCAAAAACAAGGTGGTAGGTTGTCACAGAACCAAAAATCAACTTCATTCTCAAGTTCTATCCTAGCTAAAGAATAAGCATTACTACTAATTACATCTCTATACACAGTCTAATGATACGTGCTGGTCCCCATCGAGGAGAGAGTTGTATCTTTGATAATATCTTGATAAGAGTGATGTCTTTGATATTCTACAATGCATAAACTAATTGCTTCCATGCTGCTTCAATGAAGCTTCACATGTTTGAAACCTTGCCTCCAACAAAAATTCAGTTCAGCATACAAACCGTGAGCCTTTGCAATAGCCAGAGGATATGTTCCCATTTTCCAGCTATATTGTCAGTCCTTAATAATACAACTTAAATTTTTGTCTCTGAACAATACAACCAACAGCCTTTTAAAGTCACATTAAAGGAGTATTTACATAATGGAATATTAATTACTTGTACATTTTCATGGTCATAACTGCACCTCCCTGTTAAAGATATCCCTGTAAGTAGAAAAGGCAGTACGAAGAGGAGGAAACTGAGACAGCATAAAGAGGAGTATTGGAACATGTGATGGTATAATAATAAGAAGAAGATTCCATAAGTAGTCTGTATGCTTCAGCATGAGACGAATGGTAGAAAGAAAAGTTGTTATTATGACTAATGGAGATAAAATGCAAACAAAGACCTAAAATCAACTTTGTGGGTAAGGATTTAAGGAATTTTTCTTCTGAGAAGGGAGAGGTAAGGATTGCTGGGGTATGAAATTTTGATTATTTCCTCCCGGAACAGTAAAAGCTACAACAAAATAATTGTGAGGGCAACTATTACGGAATAAGGAGATGTTGTGTTATTCATCCATTTTTCTCCTTAATTCCTTGTGACTTTCTTTGAATAATTCTTCAGCCGTCAAGCTACCCTGCACTAATTTATTTTAGTAGTTGCAGATATTATCCTCTCCGCCTCCTGTATTTATTTCAAAAGACAAAAACCGATTCAAAAAACATGGTTATGTGATTTGTGACTTTCCTGTACAGTTCACAAATAATTCTTGAACATTCAGTATTTCACTTCAGAAAGATATAAGATGGCAAGAACTGGGCAAAGACTGATATGGCGACCCAATAATGGATGCGCGGTGTTTTTTTTTCTAACCTTAAACCATTGCAATTCTCTTTGCATTTGTGGTGTTGGTCCATGTACATTTTGCTTGTAGCAACTACATCCTCGAAGCAAATCCCATGGATGAAGCTGAAAGGCCAAGCTTGTTGGTAACCAACGGCATAGCAGAAATGTTTCGAAATGAACTGTCCCTAGTACGCATAATTTCCGGGCTTGCTATTGATACTTGAAACATAAACTCAACATTCCCTTTCTTAACTGCACAAACAAGAGCATCTGCAAAAGCATTCACTAGGTCACACTTCCTAGCATTCTTACAAACTAGAAGAAGGAAGTCAACCGCTAAGGCATGCAACAACTTCAGCTCTTATATTTTCTTAATTCATAGATTCATAACACATTAGTCTTTTTGTTACGTGAGTTTATGTGAACCAAAAGCTTGAAAAGGCATGCAATTTTTGGAAGAAATGCAAAAAAAAAAATCCTAATGCATGCATCTTAATAAAAAATATTTGATCTTCTATCGAATATTTTTTTTATCTATGACAGAGAGAAACAGATAGTGAACATGCAAATGAATTTCCAACCATAGTTCGAAAGATCGTAATTAAAGTGGGCCAAAATGAGGGGACTGCCATGAACTGATGAACTCCTAAAACACTTAGGATAGGCAAGCATCCAATCCAATCTCTCCAATTTGCAATGCAGAGACTTAGTTCAAAAGTTCAAGTATAAAGGGAGAAAATAATCAAAGACGGAATATCAACCAAAGGAAGCAATCAAAAAAGATGCTTCAACTAGCAACACAGAAGTACAGAAGGAAGAGAGAATAACAATAGTGAAGTTTGCTACTTACAGCTTCAAGGCCGGAAGATGAATAAGAGTGAAAGGAAAGGCCGTCGCAGAACAGAGCGGGATCAGAGTTATATATATATTGAGAATTGGAAGCAGCGTTGATGGTGGATGATGGATGATGACTCAGGCATGTACACTTTACAACTGTTTTTGTTTCTTTCTGATATTTCTTTTTATTTTATTAAGAAAAAGAAAAGGCAGTGTCGGATGCTCTTGGAACATTGAAGAAGAGGGAAAAAAGGTGGAACGTAATCATATTTCAAGGGCATTTTAGGGTTTTGAAAGAACCTGTGCAGCGGAATCAAATAAAGTTGCATGGAAGATGGAGCAGTATAACAAAGAGCCCAGTTGTAACAGTTTATAAGTAATTTTTAGATTTACAGGAAAGAAATATATAAGAGGAGTTTTGTCTCGACTTACATAAAACATGTTTATAGGAAATTTTCACCATAATCCCAAACAGGCACAAGATCTGCCCGCAAATCATAGGACCACTTGTCTCATTCTGTGTCTGTGTTTCGAATAAAGCAAGTTCCGGCCTAAAGCGGAGTGAGGGAAGCTGGATTTCGTGGGGTTGAAGGCTCGCATACTCGTATTCCATTTCTTGAAACTCCTTTCTTTTTAATAAAAAAATATGGCTTTTTCTAAACCCAGGATTAGACAAGTCACCCATAGCTTTCTTTTGCGCCCCTGCTTTTTGCTTTTCACGCATACTATAGTCTAGATTTCAACATAGTAACATGTTTGAGTATAGCCTTGGTGGAACTTCCAAGTACTGACAAAGATTTGCAGTATTGGCTCATGTATTAGTGTTGGGTCATCAGCTTGGCAGTTGTGGTTTAAGGTTAATGTCAATAAAATATCGGTGTTCGCTGTCTTTGACTAGGGCGTACTTCTTCGTCTTCATTGATAGTTACAATCTTACTTATGCTGCTAGTGGTTGATTGTAATATACTTTTATTCCTTTATCCAACACTCCAATTTGAAGGATGGTGCGGGCAACCGTGGTAGCTTTCTGCTTGGCATGTGCTGTTGTTTGACAAATGCGATAGTAGACAGAATTCTGAAATTCTGCAATTCTTTTCACGACTTCGATTTCTTTAGTCAAAATTTTTTTAAAAAAAAAATCATCAGAATTAAAGATAATTAACCCTTATATTGTTCAAATTAAATATGAACTCATCATATTTAATTCCAGATTTCAAACTCAATAAAATTTCCCCAACTAAAACAATCCAGATGCACGACGAGCTCCTCTTGACCCGCTCCCAAAAAATTAAAAAAAAAAAAAAAAAGGGTTCAAACAGCTAGTTGCATTTCGCTATTTCCACATTCTTCATGAATTAGATGGAAGCATGCTCTCCACAAATCTGCCTAGAAATTAACATCTTTCGATTTACCGCTATATGAAATCAATTATATCAATGCCACAAATCAGGAGCACGGTTGCACATTATGACACCAAAATAAGGAACAACTGATGGCAAAATTAGAGTCTGCAAGAACATAAACAGATCCTTTCGTGTGTACGAAGGCGCCATCTTGCATGAAGGAGCAAATAATTTCCTCCGTCGGAAGTTTTGGCGGCTTAGATCTTGCACATATCTCAAAAGGCCGAAAGCCATGGAGTTCAACTGGTTTCATTACCTTGCATTTTACACTTATTACTCGATTTAGCTGGAAACTTGTGCAAAGCAAAGGATCATGGCTGAGAAACTCCTCCGACAGCCTAACGAGATCTCTCATCTGTACCACCACTGCAACTTGATCGGAAATGAACTAATAAGCTTACACATGTAGTTTCCAAGTTTTGCTGTCAAGCCGACCTTAATTTTTTGTGAAGAAATGTTTGCCGCACTCCATCAAGGAACTAAGCTAAGCAGCCCTCGCTGGCATCACAGACCTGGCAACAAGAATAACGGAGAAATATTTGCTTGGGTTAGCAACTCTTGTGAAAGAAAATGCAATAGCTTAGATAAATTGCACAATTTTACGGGCAAAGCATCAAATAACTCCAACCATTCAAAATTACATTACAATGGAAGATGCAGAAAAACAAAAGACGCCACTTACCATGACAGGGTATGGAACATAAAAATCAGTACGTATCAAAGTTCAAAACATTGCAACTTCGTCTGCCTCGACCATCAAGTTTTTCATGGACAGATACCGTGGTTAACCCAATCACAGAACTCGAGGACGAGAAACATGACCAATAAATCAGGGGTTTCCAACAACTATAGTCACACTTAAGCCAAGAAAAAATAACACAATCTAGATACTGGAGCAAGACAGATACCTTAAACTACAATATGCCTAGTTACTGCATGGACAACCCCACGAGCATAGATTTGACTATTAGTAAATAACATATTTCACAAGTACAACAAACCTTAGGCATACATATTTTCTTCGTAGTGTCTCACAACAGTAAAGGATCAACACGAACTATACAAAAAGCCTTCAGGACGATGAGTTACATGACCTTAAGTTGAGAGAAAGACATACCGATCAAATTGTGTAACCTTGTTCTTTGACCTTCTTCAGCCATTTAAGCGTGCTCTCTAATGTTGAGTAGGCAGTGACGTCTGTCAAACTCTTGCTCTCAATTGCATAGTCAAAGACCTCATAAGCTTCTGCAATTCTCCCATCCCTACACAGAGTCCGGACAAATGTAGCATAAGAAGCAGTTTCAAGCTTCAGACCACCAGATTTCATCACTCCATACAGCTCAATGGCTTTATCCAACATCCTTGATTTACACAAGCCATGAAGCAGTGTGTTATATGTGCATGAATTTGGAGTGCACCCTTTTGCTTCCATTTCCTCCAACAATGCCAATGCACCCGTGGCATTCCCCTCCCTGCACATTCCATTCATCAATGAGGTATACGTAACCTCGTCAGGGAAATGACCCGTTTCAGCCATGATACCCAAGAACTTTTTAGCTTCCTTAACTCGACCAGCTTTTGATAACCCAAAAATCAAAGTGTTGTAAGTGACAAGATCAGGCTCCACTCCTTCTTCCTTCATTTTATTATAAACCTCAATCGCCTCACTTCCCTTACTTAGCATGCAGTATCCCTTCATTATTGTATTGTAAACGAAGCAGTCAGGCTTAAACCCCTCCTCTCTGAGCACACTCACCAATCGCAAAGCCTCCCGCAAGTTTTTGGTGTTACAAACATTATCAATCAAAATTGTATAAGTAACAAGATCAGGCTTTATATTAAAAGAGTTCCGCATGTCATCAATAAAATTGTAGACAGTGCTTAATGCACATGATTTGCACAAATTTTTAACAAGAAGATTGAATGTGTAAGTGTCAGGCACTGAGTGTTTCAAGGACAATTCTTTGACCAATTCAATCGCATGCTCTAAGCGACCTGCTGAACATAGTGATCGGACAGCTATATCAGTTGTAACTTTGTCAGGGTTCATGCCATTGCTGACCATTAAATTCAGGGCTTGATGAACAGGAGCAAGGCCTGAATCAGGCGTTTTACAGGATTGGGAAAGCAAGATGTGGTATATTGATCTGTCAGGTGAGAAAGTAGGATTGCTTTTCATCATATGACGGAGAAAGGCAACAGAATCATTCACAGTAGAGATTGAAGCATATGCTTGAAAAAGAGAATTATAAAAACGATGGTCAATGAAGGTCCTTGAACTCTTAATGATCGAGTCAAAAACATCCTTGGCATCAGAGAGGCTTGGAGATTTGAAGAGTTTTAGTGCTTTTTGAGTTGTTGAAGGGTCAGAATCCTTGGTCTCTTTCACTTTTCCAGGCAGTTGGGATGGTTTTTTATTGGAGGACTTCTTGGGTAAGTAACGGGGCTTTCCAGATGGAGTAACGGCTGATTGTGAAGTTTCTGCAGGAACTAGAGACGATGGCTTTCTAAGCAGTGGGTTTGAAATTGCAGAACGAAAGGAAGGTGGAATTTTCCCCATTTATGGTACCTAATATCCTAACTCTACTAGGGTACTGCAGATTTGTGATGCTTGATGTTTAAGATTTTGCAATGACAAAAGAAGAACGAAACGAACAATTGACTGCGACACTTGATTGCGTTGGCAGCAAGCTGCAATGTTGCATGTATACAGCTTCCTTTAGAAGATCCCGCAGTTTTGTGGAGTGACTATATAAGCAGACGAAAATGTCCTGAAAATATGGCAAGAGGTTTGGAAATTCAAATAGCGCAGCATTAAGTTTCGCATTACAGTCACGCGAAACCATACAGCAAAAGCATCCAAATCTCTTCCCAATCGAATCGTATTGCAGAGATTAATATGACGCAGTTCATACAGACTTGCGTTAATCAAATACATGAAAATTAGGCGAAGAGCGTGAGCTACGGATAAGTTGCCTAATTATATGTGAGCCAAGAAAAAGGTCCTCAGTTAAAAATGGGGGGAGGGGGAACTAAGAAAGCTAACAAACAAGAAGAGAGGTAAAAAGTTGTTGGATTACCGTTCTGCAATCAGATGATCGAAACTAAACAAATGAAGTCGGAATTCTTCGAGGGCATAGTCTTTATTCAGATAAACATGAAAGAAGAGGAGGAGACCGTGGCGATGAGAGAGAGGAGAGAAGGGGAAGGAAGGAGGAGGTGGCGGCAACTTGGCACGATGAGAGGAATAGGAGAAGGAAGAGGAGGGCGCGGCAAACTTTTTTCCCCACCAATGATGGGCCTTGAACGGGACCATTCATTCTGGGCTTACTGGCCATAAAACTAGTTTAAGATAGCCCACCATCACATCAATAAGCCTAGCATTTGCTGCCCCCTCCGCCCAATTCTCATAGCGTTGGAATGTTTACCACCAATATACTGATTAATGAATCAGTGATGACTTTACCAAAAAAAAAAAAAGAATCAGTGATGACGCTCCTCATGTTATTGTTTTATTTTTTCTTAATAAATAAATTTGAAAATTATAGTTGGCGAAGAAGGTACTCTACAATGCGCCCGTTGCCTAATTAAATATCAATCCTTTATGTAAAACCCATTTTATATGTTTAATAATTTTTTTCAAATTAATCTTATTGATATCTCTCTCTAATAATCAACTAGGTGCACAAGGGAGAAGATTAAAAAAGATACTTACAATGTTTTAAAAAAATATCATATTAACTAATTTAACTAACATTTTTAATATACTCAAATTAGTTAATTAGCTCCTACATTAAGAACCGAAAGAGTATTCGTTTTATTTCTTAAAAATAAGAAATATAATTTTCAAAAAATTTGTTGGTAGAGCCAAGAATTTTCTCCCCTGGTAGTGAAAATTAATTTCATTCAAGATACTTGTCTTGCTTGGATTTAAAATAAATCATGTTGTTCATAACTTCTACATGTAGTATGTTATCATAATTAAATTTTATATCATGTATATCGGGAGATATTTTTACCTAGGGAAAATTTTAGTATACCCCTTCTAAAGCAATTTAATATCAAACAGCCCTCATAAGATTCTAAAACATCATTTCAGCCGTTTTGACCAAAATAAAATTAAATGTTATGGGTGGAAATACAATTATGTCCTTGCACTATTTTATTTATTAAAAAGTATCGGCCTCGTTGGATCTTTGGTGGTCCATCGCCGGAGCTCTGGCCACCAACCTCTAGCCTCCTATTTGGAGGGTTGCCAATGGCCGGAAAAATATTTTTTAAAATAAGGGAGCTAGGCATTTAAATCCATGACCCCTAGTACACTAAAAGGATTGTAAACCACCAAGCCGTTCAATCTATCTGATTATATCATGCAAAGAAAAATATATATAACAAAACAAATACAAGTATCTAGATATGTATGAGCAGCTAAAATAAGGTGATTCACAATACATACTACGTGATTTGTAAGAGGCATATAGGAATTCACAACTTCATTTGAGGTTCAATGGATAAAAAAAAATTAAATGTCAATGATTGCATGAATAGTTAAAGCAAAGCAATTTACAATACAAGTTAAGAGATTTCCAAGAAGAATATTGAAATTCATAATCTCATTTGAGATTCTCTGGAAAGAAAGATTGAATATTACAAACAACCAAAATAAAGTGATTCACAGCACAGATTAGATGATTTACAAGAGAAATACAGAAATTCACAACTCCATTAAGAATGTGTGAAAATATATATGTGTGTGTGTGATGAGCAACTAAAATAAAACGATTTACAATACATATTAAACAATTTGCAAGCAGTATATAGGAATTAACAATTCCATTTGAATTTCGGTGAAGAGAAAAATTAAATCTCAAACCTAGAATTAAACACTCTTAAATTTATCTCACTAAAAAAAATTTCCTCCTTTCTTCCATTTTCCTCATACCAAACGAATCGAAGTCTAACCATGTTGGATTTGTTGGCAGGTTATAAGCTTGATTGTGTGGCTTGATCTTGATTCTTAAGCATGGTACGTAGTTGGCTGAAAGTCGAATGATGTGATAAATATTAGTCCAAAATTGTAGTGAATACAATTCTGATTGTTTTTAAGAGAGGCCTTAGTTTGACACTTCTCATTACAGACTGTCATCGGAATTTCAAAATTATTTAATCTGCTCAAACAAAAAGGCTTTTACATCGAGTGTAATTACATGTTGTCGTATGGTTTATTGTAATTTATCTAGACAAAAGTTTTGCACTAATTGGTCTATTTCGGGCATTATTTATTAAACGTCAAATTAATGCTGGAAACAAGCGTCTAGATGACAGAATTTAAAATTAGCGAAATATTTAAATCAATATTCAGCCCTCCGAGTATGGTTGTTAACTTGTTATTTAGAACGACACACATATACATCCATGCATGTGTTTATATATGTGCGCATATGACAGAATATTAATACTCATGCTTCTCTTATTGTTAATGTAGGATCTAATTAATTAATTTGAATATATTAATAATATTTATTAAATTAATTAGTACGATATTTTCTATTGAGATGAGAAAGTGATCTCTGTCCTTGTCTATATTTTTTTCATAGGATTTCCGGATTGGAAAAAAACAACTGTTATTCCAATTCTATTCATTTTTTTATGACAAAAAAAGATATACTTATATTGAACATTTCAACACCTGCCTTCAATGTTACATCATGCTCAACTAACTAATTCACAATGATGTATTTTCTCTTATTTTTAATATGAGAGCTACTTTCACATTCAATTTGATGTTAAACACAATATCTCAATTTATCTTGTCTCTCATACTCTTTCGATCCTTAATATAAGACTCATTTAACTAATTTGATTAAATTAAGGAAGTTAGGTAAGTTAGTTAATCATAGGAAACATGATACGTTTTTTCTTAAAACACCATAATCACATTTCTTAATACCCCTTTTCCTTTTCTACTTGATTATGGCTGATAGAATATTTATATGGGTAATTTAGAAAAAATTAATAAATATGAGAAATAAGTCTTATATTTAGGATAAAAACCAACTCGATAATTGGGTCTTATATTAAAGATCGGAAAAGTATTTATTTACTTTTGTCCAAAGTAATCCTTTAGCTACGACACATGTTAAGTGTTTCATTAAATACTAGATTTAGCTAATGCAAATTATTAACATGGTTATTTTAGGGAAAACAATATATATTTATCAGAACGAATGAACTTAACTAACTTTTTTAATATATTTTAATTAGTTAGCTGAGTTTTATGTTAAGTATTGGAGTTAGTATTAAATAAGTAATCAAAATGTATCTGAGTCTTTAGAATGAGTTTGACAAGTCAATGGGGAAACCCAACTAGACTCACCCAACTAACCACGAATAAATTAGACTCACCCAACTAACCACGCGAGTGGATCAACTCATTCGATGAATATGGGATCAATCCATTTTAAGTGTCTTGTCGTTGCCGCCACCGATTAGTCATTAATAGTAGTATGGTTGGTTTTAAAATATTACCTCCGGCTCTAATTATAAGAACCAGTTAACTGAGTTGAGGAGATTAAAAAAATAAGGTGAGTTAATTATTTGTCATAAATATGTACTGTTTTTCCTAAAATATCCTTACTAATCAAGTGTATTAACTAGAACTATAATTATTAGAAGAATTATCTTGAAAAAAATTGAGTAAATATGAGAGCCAAAATAGATTGGGATATTTTATTTAAAACCAAAATAAAAGTCAAAGATGATCTTATATTAAAGATAAGAGGTAGCACTTCATTTGCCTTTTCTGGCATTTTCGGCAAAACATTCCGAGTTATGTTTGGTCTTATCTTCACACGCTAACTTGCCACAAACTAGTTCAAACTACAAACATTTTATAATTTCTTAAAAAATATCAATATAAAGTCACATATATTTTGAATAAATTATTTTTTTATAGATTCTAATATTAAATAAGAACAGTGATAACGCTTTGGGACGCAATATAATATTTAAAATATTAAATCAATGCTTAAGTGATTTAGTAATATTAAAACACACTTCAATTGACCATAATTCTTCTGCCCCCGTAAAATAAAAAAAAAAGCTATAAATTTTTTGTTCATGTATTTTTATTTCAGTAAAATCGAAAATTCTAAAAATTAAATCGAAATAAAATCTAAATTTTGCAAGTAAAATTTATGACCTGTGATATATCCACCATTATCTTCAACGTTGAGATCAAACGATGGGGGCATATGGGCGGCGGGAAAATAAAAAAAAGCAAAAGGCAAAAGAACGAGAAGAACGGGGTTATATGTAGGCCCCACAAGATAGGTGTGAAGCTTTAAAAATGAAGGATATGGACTGACATTGAAAGTATAAAAACATGTTAAAAGAGTGTTAAGTATGAGTAACTGTGATATTTGAAATTAGACAAGTCTATATATGTGGGATTGGAGAATACTATGAGAGAATGTGATATTTTCTAATCTTATTTATATAGGATTGTCTAATCCCATATGAGAAAAAATCACTGATACTAAGTATCTTTTTGTTTTCAACTCCAATCTCAATCCTGTAACTCGTTTTTAACATTCCATAGCAAACGTAACGTAAGTTCATGTTTTCCGGCGTCGTCTTCCACATTCAACAACTGCGCCTTCAGCCGTTACTGTTATCGACACGCCTTCTCGTTCTTGTTGCCCTGCCCCTCGGGCTCTCGCTACCTGTACACATGCCCCGGGCAACGAATCTCCACTCATCTTCTCCGACTCAATCCAATCGGAAACCCGCAAAAACTACGTCGACGTCTTCATGGCATCTCTTGTTCTTCACCCTCATCCTCCCCATCGCCCTGGCCGCCTTTCTCTTGTGGCTCGATCCCTTCCAGCCGGCTCACTTCCCCGCCGACGTGATGAGCTGGAGAATCATTACGGCGCCGGCACGCAACGACAAGATGAGTGAAGGATCGGAGGCCATGGCGGAGGGACACGTGGAGGGACCTGAAGACGTCGTTTACGATGCGGCGACAGGTGTCATTTATACCGGCTGCGTAGACGGGTGGATCAAGCGGGTTACAGTGAAGGAATCGGCGGGCGACCCGGCGGTGGAAAGTTTGGTCCGGACCGAAGGAAGACCTCTGGGTGTTGCTTTGCACCTGGACGGTGAACTTATCGTGGCAGACTCCGACAAGGTAATAATTTATTGTGTTTTTTTTTTAAATTTTTGCCAACAATTTATTGTGTTTAGATTAAAAAATGTTAGTTCCGGTAATTAATACTCGACTAATTAATTTGAGTAAATCAGTAAAATTAGTTAAATTAATTATTTATAATACATAAATGTTGTGTATTTGGTGAACATTGTGTAACTATATAATTTTAAAAAAATAGAGAAATTAATTGTTATATTAAGATGCCTACTAAGGTAAGGGTTAGCATTTAAAGTCTTTTTAAATGAAAGGCTTAAGTGCATGGAGGATCAGCCCCTCCGTTAATGCGCAAGAATATGAGATGTTGTTTTTTTTTTTTTTTGGGGATAAAAAGTCAAAATATCATTAGAATAAAAAGTTAAAAACACGTCACGGGTTTCAAAACGTATAAAGCAGATGAAATATTGAAACATGACTAACTTTCTATGAATTTATACTAATATAATAAAATTTAGAACAAATCATACTATCTCCGGTCCTAATTATAAAAACTAGTTGACTAATTTAAGAAAATTAAGAAAATAAATTAAGTTAGTTATTTGTAATAAATAAGTGTTATCTTTCCTGAAATATCCTTACCAATAAAATATATTGGCTCATATTATCATTATTAAAATGATTACTTTAGAAAAAATATATAAATATGAGAGATAAAGTGGATTGAGGTCTTATATTTAGAATTAAAATAAAAGTGAGACGAGGTCTTATATTAAGGATCAGAAGTAGTATTATATAGTAGAATTTATTTAATTAATGTTCAAAATTTAATTCCATCGTTATCGAGAGGTAATTTGTGTGCAACGGATGGCAAAAAAAATTGTTGGCAAAACAAAGACCGTTACTTTTACTCCTCTGGTCCTTAATATAGGACCCAATTCTTGAGTTGGTTTTGGTCCTAAATATAAGATCCTTTTCTCATATTTATCAATTTTCTCTAAATTACCCCTATGAATACTCCCTCAGCCATAATCAAGTAAAAAAGGGAGAGGGAATATTAAGAAAGATGATTATGGTGTTTTAGGAAAAATGTGTCACTTTTCTTATAATTAACTAACTTACCTAACTTCCTTAATCTAATTAAATTAGTTAAATGGGTCTTATATTAAGGACCGGAGGAGTACTATTGTTATAACAATGAGTGGTGTTTGATTTTTTTTCTAATACAATTAGATTAGATGGTATTCGATGTTTTCGGATTAGATTTAAATATCATGCGATGATTTCATGATATTGACAGCTAGATAGTTCGGGCACCGTATTTGTAATTTGAGATGTTAGTTGCCACGTCTAATTCTTCTTTTGTTATATGTAACATATTTTTACTTAGTTCTTAAACTAATTTTAGGGGACTTAGTTTCAATCCTCATCACCTTATATGTTGCACGAAACATTGACGTGAACTTTTATTTTTAAGAAATTAAATTTTAAAACAAATACTAATAATATATAGGACACTGTAAATTAGGGGCTAATGAAAGTGACAAGAGAAAGGAAGATTGAGCTGTTGACGGATGAGGTTGAGGGGTTGAAGTTCAAGTTAACAGATGGAGTGGATGTTGCAGAAGATGGCACCATTTATTTCACAGATGCTTCTTACAAGTACAGTTTCAGTGAGTCAACGTTTGACATGTTGGAAGGGAAGCCTCATGGAAGACTCGTAAGCTATGATCCATCAACCAACCACACCACACTTTTGGTTCCCAATCTCTACTTTGCCAATGGAGTTGCAGTCTCACCAGATCAACAATCTGTGATCTTCTGCGAAACCATACTGTGAGTTGCTACCACTCATACGTTTCCCATCCCATCTTTCTAGTTTCAATATATAGGAAATTTATCAGATTATAAACCCGTTTAGAATAGCTCATAAACAGTTTTTTAATTTTCAATTATAATTTATGAAATATGATAAAAGTTTTATACGTTGTTTTAAACTAAATGACAAATGGGGCCTACATTCTTGATGAATCTTGGTGACGTGTCGTGACGTGATGGGATGGATTTACAGGAGGAGGTGCAGGAAATATTACATAAAAGGCCCCAAGAAAGGAAGCATAGAAAAATTTGTGGAGAATATGCCTGGCTATCCTGATAACATTCACTATGACGGAGAAGGCCTGTACTGGATTGGATTGAGTTCTGTAAGTAACGCGCATCTCTGCAGCAATTTATCACTTCTTTACAACTCATCTGAAACCAAAATTGGGAAAAGGAAAGGGATAAGAAGAATTCAATTTCTTTATTGTTAGATACACCTGGCAATCTTCTCAGTTTTATTCAGAAACTCAACACTTAACTGCAGAGAGTAATTATTTTGTTGTGTGTGAATGGCAGTCGGCCACGTATTCTCGGGAATTAGCACTGAGATACCCAGTCCTTCGGAAGGTATTGGCAGTGATGGTGAAGTACGGAGTAAGGCCACATGTGAAGAAGAATGGAGGGGTTATTGCTGTGGACTTGGAAGGAAAACCAATTGCCCATTATTATGATGCTGCCTTTTCACTCATTTCAAGCGGCATTAGAATTGGGAATCACTTGTACTGTGGTTCCCTTCGCTATCCTTCCATCATACGTTTGGATCTGAACAAGTTTCCTGCCCTCCCCACGACCAAACAACATGTGTGATGTAAAAGTGAATTTGGTTTGTACTTTTGATGGGAAGAAAAACCCGTTTTTGCACTGGCTTGGAAAGGTACTAGTGGTACTGCGTCTCGAATAACAAAACCAAGCTAAGGATGTGCGAGAGGGGTGTACTGACCTCTTTCTTCGGGATAAGCCAAATGGCTTCGTTGGCTAGTTTTGTCATGCATGTTGGGATGTTAATCTAGTCACTTCCTACTGTTTTTCTTTTTTTTCTTCAAGCTTAGCTTGCCTCTGTTTGTTCAAAAACAACAAAAAAACAAGACCAAATCAAACAAGACTCTTTTGGCTCGTACGTGCGCAAAATGGCAAATGGTCATTCACGATTTCACGCCACTCGCCACATGTGAATTCTGACCCTTTTGTTTCCTTATAAACCAGGAAGGAGATCTTTTTTTTTTTTTTTTTGTTGGAATTGAAACCGGATACTATAGAAACAAAACATCGTAAAGATTACAACCAGGAAGGAGAATTCATTACATGAATAATAATATATCATAAAAATGTTTTCTGAAAGTAATACTCCTCCTATCCTTAATATAATATCTATTTAACTAATTTAATTAGATTAAAAAAGTTAGGTAAGTTAGTTAATTATGAGAAACATACATGTTTTTTTTTAAAATATCATAATCATCTTTTTTAATATTCTCTTTTCTTCTTCTACTTGATTATGGTTGAGAGAGTATTTATAAAAGTAATTTAGAAAAAATTGATAAATACGAAAAATAGGTCATATATTTATGACCAAAATTAACTTGATAATTAAGTCATATACTACCTTCGGTCTTTAATATAAGATCCTGTTTGAATTTTATTTTAGTCCTAAATAGAAGACCCCAATCTACTTTGTCTCTCATATTTATATATTTTTTTCCAAAGTAGTCATTCTAACAATGATAGTTCTAGTCAATATATTTGATTAGCAAGAATATTTTAGAAAAGACAACACCTATTTAGAACAAATAACTAACTCAATTTACTTTCTTAATATTCTTAAATCAGTCAACTGGTTCTTATAATTAGGATCGGAAGTAATATTAAATATCTAAAGAGTAAAATATAAAAAAAAAATTAGTTTCCTATGCCAATCTCTCCGGGCGCCGCTACTGTAAAGACGAGTTTCATTGCATCCCATAATAATGTCACTCTCTGTCAAGTGGGTTCCGTAATGAATCATACCTTTTTCCCTTCCTCCATATCATAGGACCATTTAAGCAGAGACTGAGCCCACCGCCACCTGTTTTTGGCGCGACATATCTATAAAGCACCTCTTACTTCTCAAGACGGTATTACACATTGTCTTCTTGGCCTTCGTTCACTGCCAGCCAAAAAGCATTTTCATTTTCCTCACCATCACATGCCTCACTCTAAAACGACGGCGCTTTCATGGCATTTCCCCTTGTTCTTCACCCTCATCCTCCCTATCGCCGCCGCTTTCATTCTCTTCTGGCTCGACCCCTTCCAGCCGGTTCACTTCCCTGACGATGCGATGAGCAGGAGCATCGTTACGACGGCGCCGGCGCTCAACGAGCAGATGCGAAGAGGATCCGAGGCTCTGGCGGAGGGACTCGTGGAGGGACCTGAAGACTTGGTTTACGATGCGGCCGAAGGTGTCATTTATACAGGGTGTAAGGATGGGTGGATCAAGCGAGTCACGGTGAAGGAACCGGTGGCTAACTCTACGGTCGAAAGTTTCGTCCGTACCGGAGGCAGACCGCTCGGTGTCGCTTTGGACCGGAATGGGGAACTCATAGTAGCTGACGCTGACAAGGTAAAAGAATAACTGTTGTTTTGGCCAGACAAAAAAGAACGACAGAACAAGGGAGTTTCTTTCCTTTGCTCCGCTTGTCTAGGAGAGGATAATCATATATGCTTCTGTTTTCTCTCCGGCCAACCCCAATCATCTAAATTCAATTGGGCTGATGATGAAAAGAAATTTAATTGGAAGATATTCTGTTTCATATTATAAGTGAAAAAAAAAACCATATGATGAAAACAGGTAATTACTCACTCATTGCCGCAGCACCCTTTTTTTTTTTTGATAGCATCCTATTTTTTTTTGGACCAGCGATAGCATCTTAGGGTGTGTTTGGGTGACACCCCAAACCATGGTTTGGGGTGTCAATCACCCAAACACCCCCTCTAAAAACCAAAACCATGGTTTTGGGTCAAAACCATGGTTTTGACTCCAAAACCATGGTTTTGAAAAAAACAAAATTTTTTTGCTTTTAGAGAAAAAAAGGAGAGTATGAGAGTCTATAGGATATATATCTTGTTATTTTTTTTATAACATATTTTTTTATAAACATATTTAATCTTATATTTTATAAATATATATACACATTAATTATTTATTAATTATATTATCTTATGTATTATTAATTATGTTGGTAAAAAATATATTATTAACAATTTTATTCCTTCAAATTAAAATATATCATAAAATCTATTTTTTCTGTAATTATCATATTAACTTATGTCTTTTTTTTAGTAATTTGTATATATAAAAAGTGCTTCTGATAACAACTATCCAAACACTCTCACTTCTCAGAATCACTTTTTTACAAAATCTATTCTTCACAGAATCTATTCTCCAGAATCACTTTTCCAAACCACGTTTTGGTTTCATCCAAACACACCCTTAGTTTAAACGAGGAGTAGAAAAAAGTCTAGGATAAATAAATGTGAAGAAGCTGAGGTCCTCGGAGGTCGGAATATCACATGGCCTGGTTATTCTGTCACATCAATATCTTCATTGTGCAGTGTGCCTTTTTTTTAGCTAGATATAGTTGTCTTCTCATTATTGGAAGCAATTGTTTGTTTAGTGGAAGGGGCAATTTTATGTGGGCCATCAAATGTTTTTCATCTGCACCACGTCTCCAAAATGGGACCTCATTCATGGACGAGATACATGTGCCTCTTTGTAAATGAAAATTGCACCGTCAAGAAATAATGTCCTTTATTATTTTTTTAATTATATGGAGTAAAACACCGTTATTCAATAAAATACATTATAACTTTTGAAAATTGAGGGTCTCCTTTTAAAAGTTGGAAAAATATCCCACATGTAAATTTTTGCTGTTAAAAAAAAACGTATTATAATAATAACAATAAAACTAATTAGCATGACACTATTTTTAGGGATTGATAAAAGTAACAAGAGAAAAGAAGCTGGAGTTGTTGACAGATGAGAGCGAGGGGTTAAAGTTCAGAATAACAGACGGGGTAGATATCGCAGACGACGGCACCATTTATTTCACAGACGCTTCTTACAAATACAATTTGAGTGAATTCATGTTTGACATATTGGAAGGGAATCCTTATGGACGTCTCCTAAGTTACAATCCATCCACCGCCCACACAGCTCTTCTGGCCTCCCGTCTCTACTTCCCCAACGGAGTCGTTGTCTCTCCGGACCAACAATCTCTCATATTCTGTGAGACTGTTCTGTAAGTCACCATGATCTCTAGCAATGATTCCCAACAGTTTGTTTATTCGGACAGAAAAGAAACTGTCATTTTTTATACTGGAACTTGTTATTACGAGCTGTTATGTTGTTTGTGGGACTTTTACAACAATTCTCCTCTTGATGTCTTGGTGAATTTACAGGATGAGGTGCAGAAAGTATTACATAAAAGGCCCTAAGAGAGGAACCACAGAAAAGTTTGTTGATGACATGCCTGGTTTTCCTGATAACATTCGTTATGATGGGGATGGCCATTACTGGATTGGCTTAGGCTCGGTACGTAATATCTAACTCTACGTACACTTCATCGCTTGTCATATTAAAAACTGAAATGACAAGTTAACGAATTAGTTTGTTATTTCATGATAAGAAGTTTCAGTTTCTTTTCTCTGCATATGATCAATGGCAGGCACCCACATATGTTTGGGAATTGGGAAGAAGATATCCAATCGTTCGGAAGGCAATGGCAATGATGGTGAAGTATGTGGGAAGGCTAAATATGGAGAAGAATGGAGGAGTTGTTGCTGTGGACTTGGAAGGAAACCTAATTGCACATTACTATGATTCTGCCTTTTCGTTCATCACAGGGGGCATTAAGATTGGGAATCACTTGTATTGTGGCTCCGTTCACTATCCCTTCATCATACGTCTGGATTTGAGCAAGTCTCCCGCAATCCCCACAACCAAACATGTATAAGGTAGTTGTGATATGCTGTGTCAGTTATTTTGATGCTGAAACTTGATTTCCTTCTTCTGATTCTTTCTTTCTTTCTCTTAAATTAATCTCATTAAAATTTTTCTCCCTTCCATTTCTCTCGTACCAAACATATTGGAGTCTAATTATGTTGGATTTGCTGGCAGGTTATAAGCTTGATCCGTCATGGAAGGCTTTGGTCCATGTTTAAGCCCATTATTATGGTGACCTCATTTTTTTTATAACGATCTTAATTCTTGAATATTAGTCTAATATTGTAGTGAATACAATTCTGACTGTTTTTAAAGAGGGGCCTTAATTTGACCCTCCTGAATGTTTGGGGGGGGGGGGGTTGGGGGGACAGATTGTCACGGGAATTTCTAAATTATTTAATTTGCTCAAGCAAAAAAGTTTTTACATCAAGTATAATTATACATTGTCGTAACGTCAAATTAATGCTGGAAACTAGTGTCTCGAGGACAGAATTTTAAATTTTTTGGTAAAAAAAAAGGACAGAATTTTAAATTAACGAAATATTTAAATCAATATTTACCCCTCTGAGGATAGTTGTTATTTAGAATGACACACGTGTTTATATACGTGCACATACGACAGAAAATTAATACTCCTACGGTTCTTAATATAGGACTCAATTTCTGAGTTGGTTTTGTTCCTAGATGTAAGATATATTTTTCATATTTATCAATTTTCTCTAAATTACCCCTATGGATATTCCATCAACCATAATTAAGTAGAAAGGGAGATGGGGTATTAAGAAAGATGATTATAGTGTTTTGAAAAAATGTGTCACTTTTCTTATAATTAACTAACCTACCTAACTTTCTTAATCTGATCAAATTGATTAACTAGGTCTTATATTAAGGAGCGAAGAAGTATTTTTTAATGTAAATCTTAATTAACTAATTTGAATATATTAATAATGTTAGTTAAATTAGTTGAGACAAAAGGTGATTTTTGTTATTGTCTCTCTTTTTATCCATAGGATTTCCCGATTAAAAAAAGACAAATGTTTTTTTTCCAATTCTAATTTATTTTTATGGCAAAAAAGGAGACCTGTTTATATCAAACGTTTCAATACCTACCTTCAATGTTAGATCATGCTCAACTAATTAATTCAGAACGTTTAGTATCCCTGGTTATTAATATAAGTGCTAGTCAAATGTAAGATTCAAACTTATTTTGTTTTTTATGTTTATTTATTTTTGTTTAAAGTAGTCTTTATAATTACTACACATGTTAAATGTTTCATTAAATGCTAATTATAACTAATACATATTATTAATAATATTATATTAAAAAAGATAACACATATTTATTATAAACAATTAATTTAAATAATATTTTTAATATACTTTAATCGGTCAATTGATTTTTATACTCCTTCGGTCCTATTCTATTTAGAACGAGAGGAATATTAAGTATTGGAGTTAATAATTTAATATTTAATAGTAATCAAAATGCATTTGAGTCTCTGGAATGAGCTCGGCAGAACATTCCACGTTCCAGCATAGCTGGTTTTGCTTGGTCTTATCTTCACACATTAACTTTTTTTGACCAGAAATCTTCACACATTAACTTGCCATAAACTTGTTCAAACTGCAAACATTTTATAATTTCTTAAAAACTATCAATATAAAGTCACATATATTATGAATAGATTTTTTTTTGTAGATTCTAATATTAAAAAAAACAGCAATAACGCTTTTGGACTCAATATAATATTTAAAATATTAAATCAATACTTAAGTGATTTAGTAACACTAAAACAATTCAACTGACTATAATTCTTCTGCTCATATAAAATAAGAAATAGCTGTAAATTTTTTGTTCAAGTATTTTTATTTCAGTAAAATCGGAAATTCTAAATTGGACGGGACTACACGTGGGCCCCACAAGACTTTAAGTTTATATTATCCGGCGTCGTCATCTACATTCAAGAGCTGCGCCTTCAGCCGTTACTAATTATTAATACATTATCGAGACACCTTCCTTCTCGGAGCCCTGCCTCCCGGGCTCTCACTGCCTGTACACATGCCCCAGTCAACGAATCTCCACTCCTCTTCTCCGACTCAGTCGAATCAGAGACCTGCAAACACGACGTCGACGTCTTCATGGCGTCTCTTGTTCTTCACCCTCATCCTCCCCGTTGCCCTGGCCGCCATTCTCTTCTGGCTCGACCGCTTCCAGCCGGCTCACTTCCCCGCCGACGTGATGAGCTGGAGAATCATTACGGCGCCGGCACGCAACGACAAGATGAGTGAAGGATCGGAGGCCATGGCGGAGGGACACGTGGAGGGACCTGAAGACGTCGTTTACGATGCGGCGACAGGTGTCATTTATACCGGCTGCGTAGACGGGTGGATCAAGCGGGTTACAGTGAAGGAATCGGCGGGCGACCCGGCGGTGGAAAGTTTGGTCCGGACTGAAGGAAGACCGCTGGGTGTTGCTTTGCACCGGAACGGTGAACTTATTGTGGCAGACTCCGACAAGGTAATAATTTATTGTGTTTAGATTAAACAATATTTAAAAGAGAAAGTGGTAAAAAGAGACTGCCAAAATAGAAAAATTGTAAATTGGGACACATGATAATCTTATCATCATGGGTTTTGAGTTTTGACAAGGAACGGATCTTTGTGTGTAATTTTTCTATTTTAGTGGTTTTTTTTTGTTGTTGCAATTTTCCTTATTTAAAGGCTTACCAAACAAATATTTAAAATCTTTTTTAAATGAAAGGTTTAAATGCATCGAGGTCATGGATCGGCCCCGTCGTTTTCTGCGCAATTATGTGACATATTGAAACATGACTAGCTTTATATCTGGTAAAAAATTGAGTAACTCTATATGAATTTATACTAATATAATAAAATTTAGAACAAATCCTTTTTTCCCCAGCAAATTTAGAACAAATCATATTATATAGTAGAATGTATCTAATTAGTGTTTAAAACCTAAATCCATCGTTACCGAGGGTTAATCTGTGGGCAACGGATGGCAAAAGAAAAATTGTTGGCAAAACAAGGACGGTTACTATTACTATTATTATACTCCTCCGGTCCTTATTATAAGACTCAATTTGACTTTTTATTTGGTCCTAATTATAAGACCCAATCCATTTTGTCTCTTATATTTATGCATTTTTTTCCAAGATAATCCTTCTAATAATGATAGTTTTAGCCAATATACTTAATTAGCAAGGATATTTTAGGAATGACAACACTTAGTTATTATAAATAACCAACTTAACTTACTTCCTTAATTTCCTCAAATAAGTCAATTGGGTCTTATAATTAGGACCGGAGGAGTAATTATAAACAATGAGTGGTGTTTGACTTTTTTTTTTTTTTAATACAATCAGATTAGATCGTGTTCGATGTTTTTGGATTAGATTTAAATATTATGTGATGATTTCACGATTTTGACAGCTAGATAGGTCGGATACCTTATTTATAATTTTGAGATGTACATGTGAAGCTCGTTACAAGTTTTATTCTGAAATAATTGCTGAAAACAAGCAAAGTGCTTGCGCCGTAAGCTTATTAAATGCGGAACGAACTCTTAAAAACACTCTTGTATGTTAGGAAATTAAATTTTAAATTAAATACTAATAATATATAGGACACTGTAAATTAGGGGCTAATGAAAGTGACAAGAGAAGGGAAGATTGAGTTGTTGACGGATGAGGTTGAGGGGTTGAAGTTCAAGTTGACAGATGGAGTGGATGTTGCAGAAGATGGCACCATTTATTTCACAGATGCTTCTTACAAATACGGTTTCAGTGAGTTCATGTTTGACATATTGGAAGGGAAGCCTCATGGAAGACTCGTAAGCTATGATCCATCAACCAACCACACCACACTTTTGCTTCCCAATCTCTACTTTGCCAATGGAGTTGCAGTCTCACCAGATCAACAATCTGTGATCTTCTGCGAAACGATGTTGTGAGTTACTATCACTCGTACATTTCCCATTCCACCTTTCTAGTTTCAATTTATGGAAAATTTATCAAACTATTATTGTTGATGAATCTTGGTGACGTGTCATGACATGATGGGATGGATTTACAGGAGGAGGTGCAGAAAATATTACATAAAAGGCCCCAAGAAAGGAAGCATAGAAAGATTTGCGGAGAATTTGCCTGGCTATCCTGATAACATTCACTATGACGGAGAAGGCCTGTATTGGATTGCGTTGAGTTCTGTAAGTAATGCGCATCTCTGCAGCAATTTATCCCTTCTTTGCAACTCATTTGAAACTAAAATTGGAAAAGGAAAAGCATAGATACACTGCACTTGGCCATCTACTCAATTTTATGTAGAGAATAATTATCTTGTTGTGTGTGAATGGCAGTCGCCCACGTATTCTTGGGAATTAGCACTGAGATACCCAATCATTCGGAAGGTATTGGCAATGATGTTGAGGTATAGAGTAAGGCCACACATGGAGAAGAATGGAGGGGTTATTGCTGTGGACCTGGAAGGAAAACCAATCGCCCATTATTATGATGCTGCCTTTTCACTCATTTCAAGTGGCATTAGAATTGGGAATCACTTGTACTGTGGTTCCCTTCACTATCCTTCCATCATACGTTTGGATCTGAACAAGTTTCCTGCCCTCCCCTCAACCAAACAACATGTGTGATGTAAAAGTGAATTTGGTTTGTTGTGTGATTTTCCCTGTTTGGTTTGTAAGTAGTTATTTGGATGAGTTTAAAATAAGTGTTTTTATGCTTTATGAGATAAAATCCTCTTATGTATTTATCTCGTACAGCACAATATCACTTTTTTACAGCTAATCTAAATGGGCACCTAATAACACTCTTATGGTCCTAAATACAAAAAGAGTTTTATATTTAGGCCGGAAGAATATATTATATTGAGTTGTTCAGGGCAGTTTGTTACATGTTATTGAACATGGTTTGTTATTGTAATTTCCCACTTTCGGACATGTTCTTGTATCTTTGTAATCAAAGTCTCTCCGTGGGTCTTGAAGCAACTCTATGATAGTTTTTAGGGGAAATTGCAAAAAAAGACTTTGGAATTGTAAAAACGCAGATAGGGATCCTTGACAACTTCACTTTGGGTTTTGACAAGAATAATATGCCCTGAAGTTGTTAAAACCCAAAGTGAAGTTGTCAAGAGTCCCTATCTGCGTTTTTTTGCAATTCCAAGGTCTTTTTTTGCAATTTTCCCTAGTTTTTATCTGCCGGATCATTTCTTGTACAGTGAATTTTGTACTTCTTTTTTGCTATCCATACATAAAAGGAAAAATTATAATGAAATTAAAAAAAAAAACTAATAAGTTTTA